AGTTAAATATTTGGGAATTTACCTAACAGCAAGATGTGTAACAATAAAAGAAGATAACTATGTAAGACTTCTAAAACAAATAAAATTGGATTTGGAAAATGAAAAAACTTCCAACTTTCAATGTTGGGGAGAATAGCAACAGTGAAAATGAGTATCTTACCAAAAATACTCTTTTTATTTCAAATGATTCCTGTAAGATTGTCTTCAATAAAGAAGTACCTGTTTACTGCTTCTGCCTCTTCAATGAACCCAGCAAAAAACAGAACTGTGGCCATAGCTGCAAATTCAAACAAGATATGAAAAAGATGCTAACACAATGGGATTCTATAAAGAACAGACAGAATTTGATCAGATACTGTTAAAAACAGATGAAAGGTTGATTCAGAAACTCTATAAATTTCTGTTAAACTTAAAAATGGAGGAAGAACAAGTAAAAAAAACAATGATAATATGGACAAAGAACCTTGGATATAATATAGAATTAGAAGATTGGCAAAAGTTATGGGAAAGAAATGTTAAATTAACTAAAGCAGTGGCATATAAAGAAAACTTTTATAAAATGTTTTACACATGACTTATGACATCAGTGAGATTAGCAAAAATGTTTAAAAATACTTCAAACAACTGTTGGAAATGCAAATAAAGACCAGGTACTTATTATCATATCTGGTGGACATGCCATAAAGCTAAAAGATTTTGGGTTAAAATACATTTATGGTTGGAGAAAATGACTAAAAAACAAATAGATTTTAAACCAAAATGGAATAATAGGAGCAAATTACAAGAAAGATTGCATATATTTAATTCTACACGTATTAACTGCAGCAAGAATTGTATTTGCCCAATATTGGAAAATGAAAATTTACCAGCTGAAGAAGTACTAATTAAGAAAATTTAAGAGTGTGCAGAAATGGATAGATTGATTTTAAAGATAAAAGAGAAAGAAGACTCAGTGTATTTTAGAACATGGGATAATTTCTATCAATGGCTAGAAAAATTAGTTAGAGAAAAAGGAATGTGATGTGTAACTTTGAATATATATTAGCAAGAAGAAGACTATCGAGCGATTAATTAACATTGTTTATAGTAATTAACTATTATCTATTATTATTTGTTAACACATGAACCCAGACATTTAGCTGTTTGCTAAATATTGAGAATGTTATTTGGAAAAATCCCAACCCCAACCCTAATCCTAACCCTAACTCAAACCTCAACCCAAACCCTAACCCCACCTTATTCCTAACCCTATAAAAACTAATACAATTTATACAAAAAATGGAATACAAACATAATATTAGAATGATTATATTATATAGGACATAGTCCTATAAGACTAAGAAATATGAAATTAATCTTTAATGACTATAATGTATTAGAAAAAACAAATGCAGTATTGGTGGTACCTTGCTCAACAGTAGCAACTGTGAGAGGGATCTTGGAGTCCTAGTGGACAATCACTTAAATATGAGCCATCAGTGTGCTGCAGCTGCCAAAAAAGCCAACACAGTGCTACGCTGCATTAACAGAGGGATAGAATCAAGATCACGTGAAGTGATAATGCCCTGGAAGGCCACACTTGGTATTATGTCCTGGGCCTGCTGAGTGATTCAGAAGGTGCAGAAAGCTGCAGAGAGCCCCGGGCAGACAACGTGGTTGCCCGGGACCAGACAGGCTTTCTCCAGCCTATTGCACATGCGCAAGGTGGGAGAATCCGTTGCATTGATTGGCTGACACTGTCCCTGTGAAGGGGTATATAAATGAATCCACACCATTTTATTTTGGTTCTGTTGGAGAGTAATAAAGGGAAGACTGTTGTTACTCCTGTCTCGTCTCAATGCCTTTACTTCAAAAACAGAACATTGGCGACAAAGGTGGGATGTGCTACAAGGGAAACAAAGAAAGAAGATAGGCTGACTCACCATGGAAGGCCTGAAGCACTGGGAAGTTCAGTGTCTGGAGAGTGCGACTCTGCCTGCCAGTACAAGAATGCTGGAGGAGAGCTCAGCAAAAGAGACCCCTTCTCAAGCCTTGCAGCACGAGGCGTTGACGAGGCTACCAGGCAGTAATGATGTCCAAAATAGGCCATCTGTTGGAATTTGACACAGCTCATCTAGAATGTTGGAGTTCTTAGGTGGCCCAGGTAGAGAACTACTTTCGGGTAAACCAAATTCAGGAGGACGGTCTTAAAGCTGCTATGCTACAGGTGTCTGTGGGCAAGAGACTTTCGATAATGCGGAGAATCTGGTCACCACACCACCACTTAAATCCATTGCTTATGCTGAGCTGAAGAGGATGTTGCAAGAACACTTTGAACCAAAGCTTTCAGTGATTGCAGAGGGACCAGAGGCCTGGTGAGTTTGCTGCGGAATTTATTGTGGCATTACGACAAGCAGCTAGGCCATGCGAATTCAAGGACCTGGAAGAGAGACTCCAGGATCATTTAGTTTGTGGACTAAGAAGTCGTGAGCTGAAACAGAAGATCTTTGCAAAGGAAGACATCTCTTTCCAAGATGCTTTGAGAGAAATTTCAGCCGAAGAAGCTGTGGACGGAGCTGTGAAGGTGTTGCAGCTTGCCAAGAACCCTCCAACTTTGATTTCCGTCCATCAAGAGGTCGCTCGAGAAGTATGGGTGCGATGGGTCCACTTACCAGGGGTTCACCCTCTGAGCTGTCATCTGAGGTGTCCACCGGCCCTGCAGTGTAGGCTGGAATTCTTTCCCCCCAATGAGCAGAAGTAGGGGATTCCACAGCCTCCCTAACTCTCATGGCAGGTTCTTTTGGCTTAGCTGGAGACTTCCTGGATTTGCTGGCCAGTGATCTGTCTGGGTTGTGCTGGGGGGCTTTCAAGCGGCATTCTACAGCCATATGCCCCTCTCTCCCACACTTGAAACACCCCATTTGCTTCTTGGCCATAGATGATGGTTTCAATGGTTCATGTGTTGACTCAGGCAGTGAGCAGCTCCATTGTTTTCCTCGGTGCCTCTTCAGTAGGTCGATCTCTGCTTCCTCTGCCAGGACTTACCATTCGTTGAGTTGGTGTGGATCCCCTCGGGGCAGGCAAGCATCATATAGGTCGTAATTTACTCCATCTTTGAAATGGCTAAGGAGGATGTCTTCCGGCCAGTTCAATTTGCTGGCAATGGCCCGGAATTCTTGCATATATTCGGCTACCGGGCGTTTGCCTTGCCTCATCATTTTTATCCTTTTGCAGGCTTTGCAATCAGCCAGGGGGTCCTCAAATTGCCTTCTCAGAGAGGACATGAAACGGTTGAAGTCGTTGAGGTCTGGGGCATTGGAGTTGTGCAACTTCATCACCCAATCTGCAGCTGGCCTGTCCAGAGCAGATTGCATGATCTGGATACGGGCTTTGTTGCTGAGGATGTGCTGCCCATATTCCTCCATGTAGCTGAGGACTTGGGTTAGGAAAAACCCCAAGCGTGTCGGCTCCCCCTTGAATCTCACATCCAGCTGGGAGTCTTTGAATGGATTGGTGCCTTCATTGTCGGTGGTATTGTCTTCCATCCAGATTGCCATCTGCGGGTCGTCAGGGAGTGGGGATGTCCCTGGGGGTGCAGGTTCCATTTCCCCCTTGGTGTCTCTCCAGTTGTGGATCTAGGAGCTGGTGTGGCCATAGGGCTCAGAATTCTCCTCTCCTAGGGAGCTGAGGGTTCTCTTCATCAGGTCGATAGCTTTCTGTAGGATCCAGCTCGAGTGCGGTGCCCAGCTTCCTTCCTCTTCACTTGCATACAGGGATTTCCCCATCTTCTGCTTCCATTCTGGTTGGTTGGCCCCCCATCTCAGGGTCACCTTTCTTGATTTCTTTTCCCATTCGCCTTTCTTTCCAATGCCCATTGACCACCACCCATTGTGGTTGCACATCTTCACCACCTCTTCTCCTGAGGAATCTGACCTCTCAGATCCCGACATCTGTCAGGTTTTCACTCAGAGCAGCAGCTCCCTCTTCAGGGGGCTTTCTTCCTTCCCTGCTCTGTCATCTGACATGGTATTTTTTGCAAAGTCCTCTGGCAAGGTTTTCCCTTCCAGGTGGACTAATTTTGCAGATTCTGTCTAATGTAAAGACCCACCTCACTTTACATCTTAAGAAGACAGAACTCTTGGAATGTCTCTTCCAACAGGCATCTTTATTAAGAAAAAATGATTGCAGGCATGCTAGACATGATCTGGGGAATTCTCTCCCATCCTTCAATGTTTTAAAGTGTTCCCAAGCAGCCCCACCCCACAGTTCTTCCAGGCAACAATCACTCATCCTCTCTTTTCCCAGATCCCAGGTGTTGCATTGTTCCCCCCTTTTCCTTCACTGCCGGCAAAAGAGAGACTTCAGAGAGAGTAGATGAAAGGCGATGGCCATATTGTTATGGTCAGTCCTCTGATGAGAATCAACATCCAGTCACTTTGTAGTTTAATGAAGGAAGTGAGAGTCATAAAACCCCCTTGCTTATCCTCCTCCCTTTTCATAGTATGACAGAATCCAGAGAGAGTAAGAAATGGGTTTTTATCAGAGTAGGTAGCTAGAAATGAAATATAATTGGATTCTGACACTTTGATACATATTCTAGACTGTCAGGGCAAGATGCTCTCTCAGCCTCTGTCTCCACATTTGTATTACAAAATTAAAAATAATTGAACAAGGTTGTTACAAGTGCTTTTTAAAAATTTTAAATATCTAAGAACAATATTAAATATTTATTACATCTGTGTTTCCATTTTGCTTTCCAGGTACAGTAGCATACTTGGATATTTCAGAATATTTAGTAATTCCAAGGATTGTCAAAATAGTTTGGGAGAATAATACCTGTCACTATTATTTGATTATTACATATTTTCCATAAATTAATATATTTTAAATTTCTATATTTCACTGGATCAATACAAATTATTTTATTAGCAAAGCTATGAGGACATTATTTTTATAAGCACAGTTGAAAGATATTGGATTTTGGTTTACATGTGTGTGTTTTTCATTTTGTTTTTACATAGGGGAATTTAACTTTTTCCTGTGTGGAGCCTCATACAGTACCAGTATTTTTCAATGCTACTAGTTTCCTGGAAGTGCCTGGCCATCCAAATCGTGAATTATTCTCAGTCAGCTTTCAATTTCGGACATGGAATCCAAACGGAGTTTTGTTGTTCAGCAATTTTGCTGAAGAATTGGGTAGCATACAGATTGACTTGACTGAGGGAAAAGTCAATGTCCACATCAATATTACTGGAGTGAAGAAGAATAAAATCAAGATATCTTCAGGTAAGAATAGCAATTCTTTTTTTTTAGATTACAAAGTATTTCTTCATGTGATTTTGAACTTTCCTACTTTTTAGGAAGTTACTTGGTTACAAAAATGTTTGTTTTAGATTTGACTGGAAAACCTAGAAGTTGTATTTTATCTTTTGTAAGAGAATTTCTTACATATTGAATTATTTTTTACCAAAATATACTGTAGTTCAAAGTTTATCTGTCTGGAGTATAGTGTTAAAAGTTTATAATAGAGCTGAATTCAATCACTTTGGGAGAAATGATATGTTGTGGGGTGAGGAAAAAAATTATTCTTCCAAACACAATGGAGAACTTTATAAGTCATGTTATGATTTTTTTTGAGGTCACTAATAAATATTATAGTCATCATATAGTAACACTTTTAAAGAGTAACATGAATAAACATAAATCAGGAGAAACCTTAATGAACTTGAATTTTAAATGTTGGTAACGGGGAAGACATCAAAAAATAGTAGAGGAAACAGAGGCAATAATAACAATTCAGTGCCATTTTCAGTACAACCCAAAAGAAGAAATAGATCAGTAAATACAAAAAAGAAATAGTGATCTTTCAACTGTATCCCAAAGACAATTATGATGCTTAATAGGAAAATTATATATGATGCATGGTTTTCCACATAAGAATGAGCAAAAAATATCAAGATAATGGCTAAGGTCATAACACTGAATTTTTGATTGGTTTTGACATATGTTGTATCTGTAACAGTGCATGGAAAAAAAGGGATGGGGCAACAAAATAATGTATATTGAGTGTGTCAACTGTCTAGTTGGTATTTCCAGAAAAAGAAATTCCTGGGACATGATTTTACTTTACTGAGGTAAAGTATAATACTTTACTGAAAATTTACATTGGTACAGAAGAAGTGAAACCAGCTCTGTTTTCCTGCTCAAAAGCTTACTTAATTAAACTATAGATTCCCTCGCCCCCACCCACCAGGTGTTCACATTGTCCAATAGTAATGTTTCTTGTTATGAGAAAAGACTACTTTTCCATCAAGCACCTGCATTAGTGACCTTGGTGTTATTAGCATAAAACTCTCAAAGACATCTCGGTTGCCTAGATATCACCCCTCCTACCTTTGCATACCAAAATCTTGTCAAGCTATGAGCAAGGGAGAATCAGTCTTGACAGAATATAGTAGAGACAAAGAGAATGTGCAGTTTATAATTTTTTCATTGTGACATTAATGTTTTTGGCACTTCTGTTAAGATAGTTAAGTGCCAGGAAGCTTTAATGATGGCCTCATTGCTATAGACTTGACCAAATTCATTTAATACTTTGAGCCTCTAATAGCATTAGCATAACAACTTAGATATTTTGAAAATAACTAAAAGAAAAAAAACTGATCTAGCAAGCAATGAAGAAGAGACAAAGCAAGGACTGTTGCTTCAAAATGAACCAGTTCTAGATGTTGAGGCAACAATTCATTTTATGTTCCTCTGGTTTCAGGCCTACAGCTCAACCCTCACCACCATTACTAGGGTTCCAGTGGGAAATAGCAAAGCAAGCAGAATCAGAAGCTATTTACAGCTCCACCAAAGTAGCTATTGTTAACATATTTAAACAAACATTAGCAGAGCAGAGCAACACAATCATCTACTTTGTAAGTGTTTCTCATGGGTCCCTTCAAGTTCTTATTAAGGTTCAGCATACTTCTAACTGTGAGAACATTCTAGTCTATTTGAAAATATTTTTTTAGATAGGAATTTATCTGTTTAATACCCATTGTGTTGATTCCAATATAAAGTGGAAAAACAGGCTTGTCCAACTTGATGTCTCCCAGAAATATTGAATATCTAAAAATCAATTACTGTATGTTGCTTAATGTTTGCTTTTGCTCATTAAATGGACAGAAAACAACAAGAACAGGGATTGAGGTTATTGAGCAAGGTGATCATGTGGGCATCTCACTTGATGATCATCATGACATCTGACTAAAATTCTGGAACCAATTGTAGTCACAATTCAAGGACTATCTGTTTGGCACATCTCATACAATTCTTTTTAAAATCCACATTAACCTTGACTTCATCCTACCATAAATATCCATGTCTTCCAAATCTCAGGTTATATCCTCCTAATTCCAAAATAATAATTGTTTCACCTTTCTCTGAAGTGTAAATAGATCTTATCAATTTTATAAAGTTCTCTCCAGAATTCATATTTTCTAATATCTTGACCAGAAAGACCAGTTCAAATTATCAAGTCTTTATCTGCTTCTATGAAAATCAGTGGGACATGTTGTTCAACCTAGAACTAAGAAGAAACTTACTGACAATTAGAACAATTAATCAGTGGAACAACCTACCTCCAGAAGCAGTGAAGGCTCCAACACTGGAAGTCTTTAAGTAGATAGCCAAGAGCAGGGGGTTGGACTAGATGACCTCCAAGGTCCCTTCCAACTATGATGATGATGATGATGATGATGATGATGATGATAGATCATCGCACAGTCAGCCAGATGTTCAGACTGGATTTGGGATTTTGTCTACCTATCGAGTCCTTACCCAGGACTTGTGATAGGCAGATGTGGATGTTTGATGGTATTACAAATATCGTCGCAGGATGGAAGCAGTTCCTAGTAAGGCCGCCTTTTGCAATTGACTAATAGCGAATTTGTCAATGCCAATTGTGTTCAAGTGGTGCTCCAGTTGTTTTGGGATTGCACCCAAGGAGCCTATGACTATTGGTACTACCCTTGCTTGCTTTTGCCACAGTCTTTCTGTTTCTATTTGTAGGTCTTTGTATTTTGTTATCTTCTCCAGTTCTTTCTCGTCTATTCTGATGTCTCCAGGCACTGCCACGTCCACTATCCAGACTTTTTTGTCTTTCTTATCGACAATTGTTAAGTCTGGGGTGTTATGTTGCAAGTGCTTGTCTGTTTGAATTCTGAAGTCCCAGAGCAGTTTAATTTTATCATTTTCTATGACTTTCTCTATTTTATGATCCCACCAGTTTTTGCTTACAGGCAATGATATTTTTTGCAGATCTTCCAATGCACCATTGTTGCTACTTTGTCATGCCGCTGCTTGTAGTCAGTCTATGCGATCTTCTTGCAACAGCTTACCAGGTGGTCCACTGTTTTTTCAGCTTCTTTGCATAGGTGACACTTACTGTCTGTTGCTGTCTTCTCAATTTTGACTTTATATACATTTGTCCTTAAGGCTTGGTCTTGTGCAGCCAGAATTAGTTCCTCGGTCTCTTTCTTCAATTTTCCTGCTCTTAGCCATTGCCAGGTCTTGTTATTATATGCTTTCCCAGCTATTTTTTTAATGTATTGACAATGTAGTGCTTTGTCTTCCCATGCCTCTATTCTTCATTTGGTCTTTCTTGTAGGCCAGTTTGGTCTCTCCAGTAGTCAGTAAGCCTTCCTGATATATTAATTTCAGTGCATCTTCATCATTGTTCTTCAGATATTCTTCCAAAGCCATTTTTTCTTCTTCAACCATCTGATGTACTTGTAGCATTCCACGCCCACCTATTTGCCTTGGTAGATAAAGTCTGTCAATGTCACTGCGTGGATGAAGGGCATGATTCATTGTCATTATTTTTCTGGTCTTCCTATCCATTGCTTTTAGTTCTGCTTGAGTCCAGTCCACTATTCCAGCTGTGTACCTAATGACTGGAATTGCCCAGATGTTTATTGCCTTTATGGTATTTCCTCCATTGAGTTTGGACTTTAAGATCTTCTTCACTCTCTTGATGTATTCACCTCTAATCTTTTTCTTGCCTTCAGTGTGCTTGATGTTGTCAGCTTGAAGGATACCATCCTTCCATCTCATCCAGACTCTTAATGTTGTTTTCATGGGGCATCTTGATTCCTTCAGTTTTCAGTACTTTTCCTTGTTTGATAGTAAGTGTGGCACATTTGTCCAAGCCAAACTCCATAACAATATCTTGGATATATATACGGACAGTGTTGAGCAGCGATTATATTTCAGATGATGTTTTTCCATACAGCTTCAGATCATCCATATAAAGGAGGTGGGATAGTCTGATAGATGTTTTTGATGTTTGATAGCCATGTCCTGAGTTATTCAGTATTGTTGACAGAGGAAACAGTGCAATAACAAATAATAATGGTGACAATGAATCTCCTTGAAATATTCCTCTCTTGATATTAACCACTCCCAGTCTCTCACCATTGATCTGCAACTGTGTCTTCCATTGTGCCATCGATCTTTGCACAAATTTTCTGATGTTTCTACTGACTCCTGTGATTTCTAGGCACTTGATTATCCAGTCATGTGGCAGAGAGTCAAATGCCTTTTTGTAGTCAATCCATGCCACATTCAGGTTGATCTTCCTTCTCTTGCAGTTTTCCAAGATCATTTTGTCTATTAGGAGTTGATCTTTTGTTCCTCTGCTATTGGGGCGGTTTCCTTTCTGCTCAGGTGGAAAGAGATTGTTTTCAACTAGATGCTGTTGTACTGCATCAGCTACCACACCAGTTAGTAATTTGAAAGTTGTTGGCAAGCAGGTAATTGGCCTGTAGTTACCTGGTGTTGCCCCTTTTGCTGGATTTTTCATTATTAGGTAGGTTTTCCCAGTTGTTAGCCACTTTTCAATTTCTCCTCCTTGTAGTATATTGTTGAACTGTTTGGCAATGAGTGGGTGTATAACAGTTAGATGTTTCAACCAAAACCCATGCAGTTCATCTTCACCTGGTGCTGACCAATTTTTGATTTTCTTTGCTCTTTTTTCTATCATTTTTGTTGTTATTACTAGTTCTTTCATTTCAACTTCTGTTTTATTTGCATCCACCTCTTTTAACCAAGCCACATCCTTGTTGTATTTCTTTGGGTTATCCCATATCTGCTTCCAGAACTGCACTGTTTCTTCCTTGTCAGGTACTGACTGATTCCTTGCAGTTTCTCCATTGATGGATTGGTAGAAACGTTTCTGATTGGATTGAAATTGGAGGTTCTGCCTATAGTTTGCAATTTGAGCTTCATATCTACTGATTTTC